TCCCGTGTCTTACATACATAAATCTGTTTATCCCGTGTCTCACATGAATAAATGTGTTTATCCCGTGTCTTACATACATAAATCTGTTTATCCCGTGTCTCACATGAATAAATGTGTTTATCCCGTGTCTTACATACATAAATGTGTTTATACCATGTCTTACATATATAAACGTGTTTATCCCGTGTCTTACATAAATAAATGTGTTTATCCCGTGTCTTACACACATAAATGTGTTTATCCCGTGTCTCACATAAATAAATGTGTTTATCCCGTGTCTTACATACATAAATCTGTTTATCCCGTGTCTCACATGAATAAATGTGTTTATTCCGTGTCTTACATAAATAAATGTGTTTATCCCATGTCTTACATAAATAAATGTGTTTATCCCGTGTCTTACATACATAAATCTGTTTATCCCGTGTCTCACATAAATAAATGTGTTTATCCCATGTCTCACATAAATAAATGTGTTTATCCCATGTCTTACATACATAAATGTATTTATCCCGTGTCTTACATACATAAATGTGTTTATCCTATGTCTTACATAATGGAATAACTAATAAACACTACACTGAATCTATTCTACTTGTGATAAACATGCGTTAGGATCACTGTTAGCCATTCTTTTAAAGGTGTATTAGCTGTTAAGTACTAGATTTAAATTGATGAATATTATGAACGTGCACCAGGGAGGTTTATTGATGTCTAGAAACCTGTTTCAGTAGCACGATATTGTGTTCACTACAAATCGATGTTTAGAGAAGAACTCAAACCAGAGATAAATCAGTTGAACTCGTTACATAATTAGCATTCGATAACCTTGTTTCTCTATTCAAAAAAGCTTTTTCCCTTGAATTGCGGGTCTGTTTAATTTTTTAATATAAATCTTTAAATGCTTAGTGAAAGATTTATGAATTTAAACCTAATTCCAGGTCTAATTGCTTAATGTATAGTAAAATCTTTATTAATGTTAAACCTGATTTCAGGTCTATTTGTGAAATGTATTGTAAAATATCTGTTAAACCTAAATCCCGGTACCTATATGTCACGGATTGATTAATGTTTAATGAAAGAATTGTTTCTGTTAAACCTAATTCCAGGCCTAACTGACAAAGACAGTGAAGATGGACTGAGTACTGACACAAATGACAGACCAAAATTTCGGCGGAACCGCACAACGTTCAGCCCTGAGCAGTTAGAAGTACTAGAAGAAGAATTCGAAAAAACACATTATCCATGTGTAAATACGCGTGAGCATCTTGCCGCTAAAACTAATTTGTCAGAAGCAAGGGTACAGGTGAGTGTAACGCATCTTGGTCTTTTTAAATAATTAACTACTTAACGAAGTCGTGTTTGCTGTCGTTACAAAATGTGTACATTTCTGTAGAAACTAATATAATTGAACTAGTTATAATAAAATGAACTTTGAGTTGCAATTTCATTCACACATTTGTATTTAAACCACTTTAATAATTATATTTCAAAACTGTGAAATAAGAATCATTTTAGCGAAATCGATCAAATTACCTTGTATTTGAATTATGGGTTATGCTATATCAATAAGCATTATTAAACTGCACAGGTTTCAGAATACTATAAAATTGAGAATATACTGTTTCGCTGTTCAAGGCCAAAAAGAAAGAATTAATACTTTGTAAAGGGTTCAAGAAGTAATATTAAACAGGACTTACTTTTAAATTGTACAGTGTCATAAAGAATTAATACATTATACAATAATTAAATAATACTGTTGTTGTTGCTTGAAGTTAAGCACAAAGCTACACAATGGGCTATCTGTGTTCTGCCCACCACGGGTACGAAACCCGGTTTCTAGCGTTGGAAGTCCTCAGACATACCGCTGTGCTAATGGGGGACTAAAATATACTGAGAAACAATACAAGAGTCAGGAGATGCTATTAAACTAAATGGATGAAGAGAAAGTGTACCCCATATAGGGATTTCAATTTACTGTTACATCTAAGGATCATAAGAAATTATTATATTATATAGGGATTAAGGGGTAACAAGAAACTCTACAAGGATTGAGGGGTTGTGAGAAACTGTACAGAAATTAAGGGGTACCGAGAAACAGTACAGGGATTAAGGGGATGTGAGAAACAGTACAGAGATTAAGGGGTACCTTTAAACTGAACACGAATGTAGCGCAACCGCTACGCGAGATCAATATAAACAAACAATTTTTTTACTTATATATTAATTAAAAATGGTATTACTTACAAAACATATTAAAATAATGTGATGCATTTGGTGATTGATTCTTCTCGGTGATGTCTTAAAATGTTCTCGTTTCCTAAATATATCATTGTAGGAAAAATAAAGTGTGATTCCAGCAAACACACTCATCCATGTTGACAGGGCAAGAATTCACATACTTAAATGCATTAATGTACAAGAAAAGTTTACACTTTTGATATATATATGTAAAGGTGTGAATATGGTGTAAAGTTATATATTTAAAAGGAAGTCATGTAAATGATGTGTGGAAACAAAACATAATTGTTAAGCTGTACATGTATCACAAATATGATGAGAGCGTAACATTTCTCATTGACATTTTAAATAAAGTCAAATTAAATCTATCAGTTAATTAAAATGACTTAGTAATATTTCAAGATAGGTTTTTGTAATAATCCTATCTATTTGTGTGATTTAAATCCCGCCAGTGATGTGTGAAATTACAATCGCTGATGAAGTGTGATTTCAGACTTTTTTGGTGTAGTTCCTTTACCAGTTTTTCACACCCATAAGTGTGATTTCACTCCTTTTTAGTGAGTATGCGTATTAATGTAGATTTACCCATCTTTATCTCTTGAATTATCGAATTCTTTTTGTGCATCCATTTTCCTATTCATCGATTTAACATTTATTTTATCCGTCATTTTATACAACTGTTATCTATTTGACGTTCATTCATCTGTTTGCTCGTTTTTATTCCTACATTTGCACATCTATTTAACAGTAAATTTGGACATGCCATATCCAACAGTTCAGTATCTTTCCAACAGCAAGACTGGACATACCATATCCAACAGCTCAGTATCTTTCCAACAGCAAGACTGGACATGATGCATCCAACAGTTCAGTATCTTTCCAACAGCAAGACTGGACATACCATATCCAACAGTTCAGTATCTTTCCAACAGCAAGACTGGACATGATGTATCCAACAGTTCAGTATCTTTCTAACAGTAAGTCTGGACATGCCATATTCAACAGTTCAGTATCTTTCCAACAGCAAATCTGCACATGCCATATTCAACAGTTCAGTGTCTTTCCAACAGCAAATCTGCACATGCCATATTCAACAGTTCAATGAACTGTTTCCAACAGCAAATCTGCACATGCCATATTCAAAAGTTCAATGTCTTTCCAACAGCAAATCTGCACATGCCATATTCAAAAGTTCAATGAACTGTTTCCAACAGCAAATCTGGCTATTTATGTTATTTTACCTTTCTACAAGTAGCTTCAATAATGCACATGTTTTCTTCATTTAACAAGAAAAACAAAAATAAACGAATACCAGTGTAAGTTACTAATACAGTACAAATAATGATTGTTTGTTTGTTTTTGAATTTCGCGCAAAGCTACACGAGGGCTATCTGCGCTAGCCGTCCCTAATTTAGCACTGTAAGACTAGAGGGAAGGCAGCTAGTCATCACCACCCACCGCCAACTCTTGGGCTATTCTTTTACCAACGAATAGTGGGATTGACCTTCACATTATAACGCCCCCACGGCTGAAAGGGCGAGCATGTTTGGTGGGATGCGGATTCGAACCCGCGAGCCTCAGATTGTGAGTCGAGCGCCTTATCCACCTGGCCATGCCGGGCTACAAATAATGAAGTGACAAAAACAACTTACGTGATTATGTATTAGTTATTTTAGTTGTGAAAACAAAGTGCCAAAACAATTTACAGGGTTATGTATTAGTTAAATTGTGAGAACAAAGTGATCAAAACGAAAATTCAATATTACAGCTAACGAAAATCAAACAGTTTGTGTCAAATTAAAACGATTATATCAGATTACGAACGTCACGTTTTTCTTTCAAAGGTATATCAACAATAGGTTAACAACAAAGGATCATAAGGTGGATTGTTCTCAAATTGACGGAGTACTTCCGCTTAAATGGGAGTTTAGTTTTGTATTAAAGTTAATTACAATAATAACCCAGATTTTTTTCCAGAAATAAGTTTTGGTTTGTTATTGTAAACTGAAGATGAATTTATAACATATGCTTGTATGATTGAAGCAAGTGTTAATACTTTATCTGCCAAAGAAGATTAAACGAAGTTTTAAAAATCCGATCTTACTTCAGTGAAGGTTGGATACACTAAGATCAAAGTTGACGTAAACAAATTGTCCGAACTACACCAAATAGCTATACTATCTGTTTACAGACTTAAAAGCAATGTACACACACATGTATATATATATATATATATATATATATATATATATATA